TGTCCAATTAGCTGTCACTGTCAATAATGAGGGAGCTCTGGTGGTGTAGTGCCTAAGGCATTTGATTGCTAACAAGAAGGTTGGCAGTTCAAACTCACCAGCCACTCCTCAAAAGGAAGATTGGGCAGTCTACTTCCGTAGAGGAAATCTGGGCACCTAGAAGGGGTCTCTTCCTGAAGTCTAGCTTCACTCGATTTTCTCTATCTCATTTGGTCAATGTAGTCACGTTGTAGATTCTTACTGCAGAGCAAAATGATCATCTGACTTATCCGTTGCTTATTTGTTTGGGAGACGCCCTGTGTTCCATCTCTGAGCTCACATCTATGTGTTTCTTCCGCACACCAAAGTGATGTCCACATTTTTATGTCACCAGTAGAAAAACTGGTCGGGGGGAGCATCACTGAATTAACTTCTTGAATAAATTAGTGTTCCCTCACAGTGCTGAGCATTTAGTTTCATGCCCCCCAGACACTCACTAAATGCCAATAAGTGTCTAAGGCATTTGACTGCTAACCAGAAGGCTGGTGGTTCAAACGCACCAGCCACTCCTCGGAAGGGAGACTAGGCAATCTACTTCCATAGAGATACTGCCTCAGAAACCCAAGGAGGGGTTACTGTGAGTCGGAATTGACTCAACAGCAGTGAGGTTTTTGTTTGTTTGTTTGTTTAGGAGATAAGTAGGTCCCTGGATGGTGTAAACAATTTGTTTCTGACTACAAAACCAAATGTTGCTGGTTCAAATCCACCTAGTAGCACTGTGGAAGAAAAACAGTCTGCTTCCATAAAAAGTAAAGCCAAGAAAGCCCTATGGAACAGTTCTATTCTGCATTACATGGGGCCACCATCAGTCATAACTGACTCAATGGCAACTAACAACAGTGGGCAAGTGTCTGCAAGAGGCTGAATGTGTGATCTCTGGCCTTGGGACCAACTACAGTATTACTGAGGAGCTCTGGTGGAATAGTGGATAAAGCATTTGGCTGCTAACCAGAGGGTCAGTGGTTCAAACCCACCAGCCACTCTGCAGAAGGAAGATGGGACAATCTACTTTCTGTAAAGATGTACATCCTCAGAAACCCAATGGGGGTCGCTATGAGTGGGAACAGACCTGATGGCAATGAGTTTGGTTTTGAGTTTATAATCTGACTGGAGGCAGAAGGTACATACAGTTGAGAAGATGGCCAAGCATCATCCTTGGTCCTCGCCAGGAGAATTCCCTCTGCCACTTGCCTCTGGAGGTGGGGTGCCCACACAGGCATCTGTTCTGGCTGACAGTCCAGTGTGGTTGCCTGTCCTTCATCAGGACTGTGCAGAGCAGGTGCTTTCCTGGAGAATGGGCCTTGAGCATTGAGATGTCCAATGTCATCACAAGTATGGTCGCGAGAAAGTTTATGCAAGTTGTTCCAAAGGATAGGTAGCCTGCTGTTTCAGTGATCCCTTGCAGTGGCCTCCAGTGACGACAGGCTTTCTGAAGAAACTGACCCAACAGAGCCTTGGGAAGAGTCAGAACAATGTCAGAGTCCCAGGGCTCATGGAGATGGGTGCTAGACCACTCCAGGATCTACAGCAGCTCTGGGACCTTGGTAAGGAGGAGGGAGTCAGGGGCACTGACTCGTGTGTTCTGCCTTTAATGTGCTACACCCCACAATGCCTACTCTTCTCTCTTCTCAACACCTACTGGCTGGTTCTTTCCCTCCATCAGGTTCTTTTCCTTCCTCATAGTTTCTGGTGATTCACCTTCATAACTCTGCTTCCTTATTGTTTATTCCACCACCTGCCCTCTCATAAAGTACCTAACAGCTGTGACTCCTGCTGTTCACACCTCCTCAGCTCTCCTCGGTTCAGAGGAGGATCAGATTTGTCTCCTCGCACATCTTTTGTACCAAGGTCCTGTTGTCACCTGCTGGTTCCTCTCTGGAATAGCATCCCTTTGGTCAAGTACTTGCAAAGGTGCAGGCCTCTGTGGGTGTCTTGAGGGGAAAGTTCAGAGGTGATAGGGTACACAAAAGTTACTGCCTACGGTCACCTGTTCATCAAGGCATAATCAGGGCTATTTCCTCTACAGGAGCCTATGGCCCTGACAGATGCCTTCACTAACACCTTCCAGTTTAGTGAAGGTCATTAGATATAAGCCTGGACCCACCCCACCCCATTATTCTGGACTCCTTTAGAATTTCTTTGAAGTGATTCCTCCACTTTCACTGAAATGTTATCTTCAAGACTGCTTTATATACAGTACATTAATCTATATTTGATGAGATATGTTTAAGGACATTGCTCAGTGTTTGACTCAGTGATCCTTCATGAGGACCTGTGGGGAATAATATTTCTCTCTTATTAGCAGGACTGCTGTGCTTTTCCTGAACGATGGTTTGTGTTTTCCTTTCAGATATAATCAATTACGTAACTCACCATATTTCTCTCTGCGGCAAGTTTACACAGCTTTATTGTGTGGATTTTGTACACAAACTTTTCATCTTGCTTTTTTAGTTTTAGTTTTATTTAACCTTAATTTCCTCAGCTGTTTTTTCTCTATAGCTGTTCTGTATATATTTTTTGTAAAGTGTATACAGTTTTGAAGTGAGATACAATATAAATACATTTTAAAATAGCAATGACCAAAGATAGTTATTCATGTTGCAAATATTAAGCACCTACTCTTGACAGTTACTTTGACTAAGACTTATTTCCTGTGCTATTTATACCTACAGCTAGTCCAAATTTTATAGGTTTAAAGGAGAAAAAGCAAGGTCCCTGGATAATGCAAATGGTATACACTGAGCTAGTAACCAAGTGATTGGTGGTTCAAACCTACCCAGCCATACTGCCATAGAAAAGGCTTGGCAGTCTGGTTTCCTAAAGAAAACCCTATGGAGCAGTTCTACTCTGTAACACATGGGATCAGAATTGACTTAATGGCACAAGACCACAACACCAAAGGAAAGCAATCACAGAGGGTTCCATTTGCAGAGGTGCCCTTGAAGTACCCAGCTAGAGTGAAACTTCTTAAAGGTCCTCAGGGCCATCCACCCTGTCTCAGAATGTGGTCAAGCTAAGCCTTGTGCAGCATGGAAAAGGATCATGATGCTTTTAAGAAAGAAGGCATTGCAGCCAATATTATTCTCTGTGGAAGAAACTGAAAGACTTCCCCTTCAGAACAGGAACCAGACAAGGATGCCATTTATACCACTCCTATTCAACACTGAATTAGAATCCTAGCTAGAGCAAAAAGGCAAGAGAGGAAAATCAAAGGCATCCAAATGGGGAAGGAAGAAGTAAAACTATCCCTATCTGCAGATGGTATGATTCCATACATAGAAAATCTCAGAGATACCACCAGAAAGCTACTGGAACTTATAGAAGGATTCAACACAAGATCAGCATACAAATATCAATCAGATTCCTCTATACTAACAAAGAGAACTGTGAGAATGAAATTAGAAAAACAATACTATTAATAAGACACCCAAAAGATGTAGTACTTAGGAATAATCTAACCAGAGATGTGAAAGGGCTCTACAGAGAAAACTATAAGAAAGAGTGCATTATGGCTGCGGTTCTCTATTCTCCACTGAGGGCTTCATTCTCCACACTTTACACATACAACCCTCACAAAACAAAAAGAGCAAATTAGCGCAGAAAATAGCCCACAAGCACCACTGAAATGGTTATGGTTTATTCTCTTAGAGGTTTTTTTTTTTTTAAATTTCAATAGTACAGTCAACTCCTTTGTATTATTATTATAGTGTTGTTGTTGTTATGTGCCGTCAAGTCGGACCCGACTCACAGTGACCCCTCCTTGGGTTTCCAAGGTGGTATCACTATGGAAGTAGATTGCCCCATCTTCCTTCCAAGGAGTGGCTGGTGGGTTTGAACAGCCAGCGTCTGGTTAGCAGTCAAGTGTCTTAGGCACTACACTACCAGAGCTCCCATTATATATTATAGTAGAAATACATACAACACATTTGCCAATTCAACAGTGCAGTCAATTCCTTTTCAAAAAGATATTCACAGTTTACTCAAGTTCTAAACAACAGATTGCAAATAATGAATGGTCAATTATAAAATAATATACATATTTCTGGTATTAACTTTCAGAAATCATAGGAATTTATCTCAGCCAGATGTAGTGCAGGGAAATTTCTCTAGCCCAGTCCTACTAAAATAATTTTCTTCGTTTGGCACTTGGATTCAGGGAAATAAATTTTTTATTATCTGCTTGTAAGTGATTTAATTTTGGGAAAATACCACATAAAATGCAAGGGTCCTCCCTGCAGCTCAGCATGCTCCCAGCCTGTCTCACCATACCATCCTGTGGGAAGAGCTCACAGCAACCAGGGTCATATCATTTGGACGTCCAGTCACACATGTGTGGGGAAGGCAGGGTTATGGGTGGAGAGAGAGGCATTAGAATGGGCTTTGGAGCCAAATGGACTTCTTTAAAAATAACCTATCATTTGGAATTACTTCTTCACCATCCACTCATGCAGAGTTGAAAGTGATTACTGTTTCTGTTAATGGTTACATCTTACAAAGATTATATCATACTGAGCATTCTCTTTTCAGAACGAACCTGATGGCCTAAGGTTCTCATATACCTGAAGCAGGTTAGGATGATGGTGGAGCACAAGGATTGCATAGTTCCATACTGCAGCAAAGTTTCTGTCTCTTAGATGCATAATTAAAATGCTAATTTTTGCCCCTTATTAAGGAGACTTTGGGGTCAAAAGCAAATAAATGAAATTCTGCTAACTAATATTAATTTCAACATCAGAGTACTAATATCTTTAGTTCAAGTATTAATCAAATGTTTTAAGTATCCTACCTCCCACAGCTGAACTTACTACCTCATGTAGCTGAATGATACCTGCTCAGGGAGGCTCACAAAGTTGTATTTTTTATTTGAAGATTACATACCTCAAATACACAGGCATTATCATTTGAAAGATTTCTTTCAAGTAATTCAATGGCTTCTTTGTTTGTGTCTGTGTTTCTAAAAGGACGATATAGGAAACCTGGGCAAACTGTTGATGCACGGCCCTTTCAACGTCTGGACAATTCACAAGGATCGCTATAAGATGAAGGATTTTATGCGATTTAAGCCCAGCCAGAGGCAAATCTATCTATTTGAAAGAGGAATAATGTTCTGTAAGATCCGAGTGGAGCCCAGTGACCAGGGGTTATCTCCTCATTACAGCTTTAAGAAGTCTATGAAGGTAATGGAGGTCCTATTGCACCTGGGGAGTCCCTGGGTAGTACAAACACTTAAATGCTCAGCTGCTTACTAGAAGGTTGGAGCTTCAAGTCCATCCAAAGGCACCTTGGAAGAAAGGCCTGACAACCTACTTTTGAAAAATCAGTCATTGGAAACCCTATGGAGCACAATTCTACTCTGACATACATGGGATTACTGTGAGTCAGAGTTGATTTAATGGCAACTGGTTAAGGAGATCAGGTGGCGAGGTGCCTAAGGTATTTCACTGCTAACCAGAAGGTTGGCAGTTCAAACCCACCAGCCACTCCATGGAAGGAAGATGGGGCAATCTACTTCTGGAAAGATGTGTTGCCTCGGAAACCAAAGGGGGTCACTGGGAGTTGAAATTGACTCAATACCAGTGAGTTCGGTTTTTGGTTATTGTACCTGGGAAGTCACCACAATCCTAAAGAAATAAGGGAACTGAAGCATAGAGAGGTGAAGTTAAATTGCTGAACAGCAAAGCCAGAATACACACTGAGGCTGATCTGACTCCAGAGTCAAAGCTTGTAGTCAGTCACTGAGTGGGGTCAGGGCTCGCATGGAGGTGTTTTCATGCTGAGGAGAGACGGGGCACCGTTCAGCAGACTGTCTGTACAGTCTGACTAGAGGAAATGGTCTCTTTCCTCTAAGGCAAAAGAGTAATGAGAGCTTGAGCTGGCTTTCAACTTCTTGCCCTTCTCAATGGGCATCTTTGTGTATAACTGTAGGCAGCATCCTGACCCTGCATGTCTAGGGACTCATGCTCATAGCAAGCACTGTCTCTTGTTTGTATAGGAAATGTTTCCTAGCTGTGTATCACACACACACACACACACACACACACAGACAATTTTTAATGTGTATGAGTGCTCTTGTAATTAAAATTGTTAATTTATTCATAGTAGCCTTTTTTACTTATGGTCTTGTTGTTGTTGTTATGTGCCGTCAAGTCGGACCCGACTGATAGCGACCCCTCCTTGGGTTTCCGAGGCAGTATCACTACAGAAGTA